GCTCAAAGCGGCGCGGCGTGAGGAACCAGGTTAAGCAGTGGTGAGGCAACGATGCAGCTCGTCGCAGGCCCTAGCTGCCATGTGACTGTTTCAGACCGCAAGGTGAAGACTCATGACTTCCCCTGGGACAGCCCCAGTTATCCAAACTGTCCAAACTCCTCGAAATCAACATCCTCTATGGAATGTTTGTAATCAAAAACTCACAATGCCAGGGACGTCCACCCAGAAGTAGTTGCCCCTGTCCGGCTCGTTCCTTGGGACGAAGCTGCTCGGCTCCTCGCTGCCTTGCGCCACGCCTGTCACCTCCACCCGCCCCTGCGGCTGCTGCGCAGACACGCCCTCCCGCCAGTGCTTCTTCCAATCAGGGGGCACCCAGCCGCGGTTGACCAGGACCGTCCGCTTGCTGCGCACGCGGACGGCGTGTGTGTGTGTGTGTGTGTGTGTGTGTGTGTGTGTGTGTTCGCGTGTGTCCAGCCCCAAAGATAGGGGTGATGAAGGGACGGGCACACGCAGTGTGGGCCAATAGCTGTCGCACACGTCGGCCCCAGGGATTACAGCCTCTGGGCCCGCACCGGCGGGCGTGCCCAGAGCCGGCAGCAGCACGGCACCAGGTCGGGCTGCGCTGCAGCAGCGCTGGCAGTGAGGCGGGGCGCACCTCTTGTCGTGTGTGAGAGGCTCTATGAGGAGGTACCCGCTTTTGATGGCCCCTGGCGTGCTGAGCATCTCCCGCATGCCGCTGTCCTGCAGCTCGGCGCGGCTCAGCGTGAAACTGCAGGGAGCAGTTGGGTGGGGGAGCGTTGGAAGGGCTGGCTGAGACGACAGGCTGGCACTGGCCGAGAAGGGTGTGCGCTTCGCCAACGGCTGGTCAACCCCAGCAGGGGCCCATGCGCCAGCGCTTCGTGCGGGATAACCCCCCCTCCTGACCTGATTGGCCGCGGCCCCACAAACACAGCACGTGAGTGATCGTAGGTGCCGGCCGCGGTGCAGCGGCGGAAGCGCGGCAGCTCGTCCATCGTGAACACGTCCTCTGGCGGGCTTTGCATCGCCTCCTGCGCCTCCTGCACGACCCCTTCCTGCAAGAGTGAGGAGCAGGAGCGCCGCAGCCGCTTGCACTTCTTTACTGCCACGGCTGGTGGCTGCGACTGTGTGCGTCCTCACAACAACGGCAGGTCAGCACACCTTCCAACGCATCCGCTGCAGCTGCCATAGGCACATGCTCCCCGCCACTGCCGATGGCAGGAACATCAGGGCTGCCTTCGCGCCGCCTGCGGTGCAGTTTTAGGGGTAGCTGGGTCATAAAAAGGCCAAGATACTCCGTGATCTGGAAACACGCGTTGAATCCCGTTGACACGGGCTACTTACCCATCCTTTACTATTAATCTTCCTTTTCCCAGGGTGCGGGGGCCTCAGCTTATGATCGCTGATCGTCCCGTTTGCGCTGGGCTAGCTATGAGGCTCGCGCTCAATCTAAATCCGTAGATCAGCATATATCAGTGAGATTGCGGCGTGTCAGGTACCTAGGTACCAGTCCTGCACCTGCACAGCCTCGTTGTCACCGAGTGACTCTCCAGGCATTCCTGCTGGACGCACGTGAGTGGATCTGGTACATCTTGTACTGAGAAATTGCATTTGTCTATGCTATATTCGCCGTGCACAACCACCCAGCAGCAGCGTGATCTGCTAGAGGTATGGCGACGCTGGACAAGGTCTTCAAAGATGCTTCGGTGAAGAAGGTGAATTTTTTTGCATGTTGGAAGGTTCATCGGCCGCAGGTGCACCTGGCACCCACACTCAAGCTGCACCATGCAGCCATCCGCCCTTGCGCACCCTCGCGCGTGCTGCGTTTCCTTTCGCCCCTGCCGCAGCTGTTCAAAGACCTGCTCATCCTGGCGCAATACGTTGGTCGGCGGGTGCGCACCACTCACATACCGCCACTAACCGCCTTCAAATAGTTTCATGCACAGACACATGCTCGCTTCGCCCTAGCAGCAGTGTTGCTCGTTCCAGTGCCTGAGAGCGGTGCTGCGGCCGGCTTTCTGATGGCACCATCAGGATGACTAACAGCTGCCACACGGTGGTCGGAGCGCCTGGCAGTGAGACTGTACTACAAAACCTCTCCACAGCCCCCGTGACATTCCCTGGCAGGCCGCACCCCACTGTACACAACCCCCTCCCTCCTCAACACCGCAGCAAGGCAACGAGGCCGTGCTGAAGGAGCAGGTGCGGCAGAGCTTCAAGGCCAACATGCATGAAGTGGACGACGAGAAGGTGAGCAGCCGGAATCTCAATAGTCGATGGCGCCGGAGAGCTGGGCGAACATCGCCGTGCTGCCATGGTGGTTGCTGGTCGCTGCCATGCAGCGTTCTGCCTATCTGCTGCCACGTGTTCCACATCGACCATCCACCTTTTGGCACCCACCGCGCTGCACGCATCCACAGATCTTGCAGCAAAAGGAGGCGTGAGTCCCTCGCAGCGGTGCACCCGGGATGGCGGTGCCGGCTGGAGTGGGGGGCCGTGCGCGGCTGGCGCTGTTGCGCAGCAGATGCTCCTCGCAGGTGCACGCTTATGGCTACTGCATAAGGAGGTAGCGGCCCAGGCCGGCGGCCCCTATGACTGCACCCCCTACGCCTCCCCTCCTGATTCTGCCGTCTTTTGCCTGGTGCAACGCCGGATCGCTCTCACAGGGCCATGCGGGCGCTTGGCAACTTCTACTTCCAGGAAGCAGAACGCCTAGCCCGGGTGAGGGGCCGGGCCTGCCTGCAAACCCCAGCCGTACCAAGCCCCTGTTGCCCTGAACCTATAGGTGGCAGCCGCGTCCGCCCTCTTGCCCATGACAGACAGCCATCGCGTGGCGCCCTTGTCCGCAGGAGAAGGGTCCAAAGCGCAAGTGAAGGGCCGCGCAAGAGGGGTGTCGCCAGCAGCAGCATCCGTAGCCGCGGACCTACCAGCCAGCAGTGCCCCTGAGATACGGGGCTGCGAGTCGGTGAAGCACTTGTTTACTTTGTTGCAAAGCATTGGCATGTGTGTCAAACAACCGCACATGGTAGCTTTGTCTCGTGCGCGCATTACGTACCATGCATGTTAAGTCAATCATGCCATCCTGCAGTTGAGGCTTGAGATATGTACCTGGACCAAAATGTAATGACTGGGAGTGTGCCAAATGCTCGCCGCAATCACATGTCTCACCAGCTTTTCCTACTTGACCAAACACACCGCGTCACGGACCATCTCCCAGCTGCCCCCGCCGCACTACACCATATGCTTCCACCTCCGCCGCCGCCGCTGCCGCCACCGCCGCCGCGTCAGCCGCGTATGCTGCCTCGCTGCCAAGGCGCTCCGCCATGCTCACGACCTGCATACAAGGTATAAGCACAGGTGGTGGACATGGCTTTGCTCAGCCCGCTGTAGCGTTGTGCACTGGAAACAGCACACGCAGCTTGAACGCGAGGCCGTTCGAATGCAAGCAGCGAGTCAGCTACAACTGGCCTGCCTTGCTGCCCACGGGGAGCAACACCACCTGCTGCATGGCTTGCCCTTTTCCTTCACACCACAGTTCAATCCCCCCGACACCACCCAACAAAATCGCTCCAGTGCCCCAGCCCCATGACCCCACACCTTGCGCTCCACCTCCACTTGCTGATGGTCGCCCCATGGATGGTCGCAATTGCACACCCATGGCGAGTTGAACGCGCCGCAGCCGGCGCCCTTGCACTTGCTGCACGCGTGCGTGGCGGCGTCGTGCTCCGTCGCTTTGTGCTTGCAGCGGCAGCGCAGCGTCCACGCGCCCTCTGCGACGACGAAAAAGAAGGCCTTGCAGCCGCAGCGCGGGTTTGCGCAGGCGCGGCCTGCGGCGGCAGCGTGGTCCTTCAAGCGGTGCCCGCAGAGGCTGGCGCCCCGTGCATGGTGATGGGTGCGCGGGGTGTGAGTGCGGGCCGGGGTGTGGGTGGCGGGAATTATTCATGCGGTAACGTGGCCGCATGGAGGGTGTGGCCCCATCACTGCCTGTATGACTGGTGAAGGGACATTTCCGCCACAAACCTCATCAGGCAGCGGCACGCTCCTCACCAGCGGCTGCGCACGCAGCGGCACGCTCCTCACCAGCGGCTCTCAGTTCGGATTGGCCAACATGCCCGCTCGCACTGCTGGCAGATCCACGCGAGCTCGCGTCGAACGGATGGTGCAGCAGGGGCCATGGGCTGCGCCGTTGTGAGGGCCCCAGCTTCTGCGGCGGCGCTGCCCAGCATGGTGCAGGGACCTTGGCTTGATCTGTTGGTATTATTTATGATACAGAGTGACAGTACCATAGTTTTGTTTCTGTACAGCGCAGGAGGTATGATACCGGTAGTTGCGGGTTGACAGCCAGTTTGATGACACGGTCTGGTGATCAATGATCTCAGCTGCCATGCGCACACAACGATGAATTGAAGGCTGCAATTCTCCTATCACACAACTAATTGAACTATCAAGCGGCTCTCGTGCTCGATGTTGCTTCATCAATTGCGTCAGCGGCGTCGGTGACTGGGCTCTTCACGGGTGCCAGATGCAAGCAATTAGAACTCAGCGTGGCAGTTTGCCACAGGCCAGCACGCGGCTGCCACCGCTGGTGCCCCGCCCACCGCCCCTGCCTCGGCGACGTGTTGTGCAGCGTCGCCCGCGTGGCGCCGCCGGCGCCGTCGACCCCGCACACGGAGCCGCGGGCGCCGATGGCGTCGCCAACGGCGACGGCGGCGGCGACAACGCTGTGGACGGTATCGTTGTCGAGTTCTCCCACAACGTCTTTGAGGCCCTGCCGCCCCCACCAAACGTTGGGCGCAAGCGGCAGGTCGCCGCCCTCGTGGCGGGGGCGATGATCGAGTTTACAGCGACCGGTGAGCGCCGCGCGGCATGCGGCGCGAACCTATTGCGGGCCTGGCCAACCGTGGCGCTGGCAGCGGTTGTTTTGCAGCAGGCAAAGGCATGCTGCGCGGCTTTGCCACACTTCCATGTGCCACCCCAGGGCTCGCCTCGCTCGCAGCCAAGCACGCCCTCACGGCCCCAAACCCCCCAACACACACACACACACGCCCCTCTGTCTCGCCGCCCAGGGGCCGTGGTGTGGGCGCCCCTGGCCGCGGCGCTGGCGGTCATTCTGCTGGCGCCCAGCCGCCGCCAGCTGCAGCAGCGGGAGGCGGAGGTCGCCGCGCTCGCGGCGGAGCGGGCGCGCGTCGACCTGCTCAGCCGCATGCCCGTCACGCCCGCGGAGGCCGCCCAGTGGTGCGTACGGGGTGCCGCTGCTGCTGCTGCTGCTGCTGCTGCTGCTGCTGCTGCTGCTGCTGCTGCTGCTGCTGCTGCTGCTGCTGCTGCTGCTGCTGCTGCTGCTGCTGTGCTGGTGGTGGTGCTGGTGCTGGTGCTGGCGGTAGAATAGCCGCCTGGCCAACTACGTGCCGCAATTGCTGCCGCAGCAGCGCCGAGGCCGTCAGCCGCCCGCAGGCGCGTGCCGATCTGCTCGCCGGTCCTGTCAGGCAGGCAGCGGGGCGCTCTGGTGCGGCGCGGGAAACGCCTCTCTCCCCCCCCCCCAAAAAAAATCCCTCGAGCACATGCATGCACTCCTCTCGCCTTCCCCCGACCGCCAGGCTCAACCGCATGAACCAGGAAATGTGGGCGACCTTCATCGAGCCCATGCTGCTCAGGCAGTGTCTCGCACAGTGGCAGGCGCGCGGGGGCGCCAGGGCGCCGGCAGCTGCACAACCGCCTCACACGCATGACCCATAGAGCTCCGCTCGCGTGCAGGTGGCCGTTGGACCTACTCGGTGCATGCATATCACCATCGCAACTTGGCCGAGCTCTCAAACCCCCTGAGCCCATGTCGCTGGGGTGTCCCTGGCTGTGCTGATGGTTGGGTGCGCGCAGGACGCCATCGCCAACGCGGCGCCGCGGGGGTGGACGCTGGCCATCAGTGACGTCAGTCTGGGCACGGACGCGGTGCAGCTGTCCGACTTCCAGGCGTACGGGGACCCGGCCACGGGGCGGCTGACGGCGGTTGACTGCAGGATGGTGCTCAACAGCGACACAATGAAGGTGAGGGTGGGGGTGTGGGGTGCGTGTGTGTGTGTGTGTGTGTGTGTCCCGGTACACATCTGTGTGAGTGTGGTTGTGATTGTGTGTTATTCTGTGTGTGTGTACGCATGCCTGTGTGTATTGGTGAGTGCATTGGTGTGCCTGTGCGTGTGCACTTGACAAAAGTTGCGGTCTGGATCGCGTTTGCAATGAGAGCCTGGTCTCAAGCGATGCTTAGCACCCGCTAACAGAGAGTACATCAGGTGCAGCCGCAGGCCTGCTCGCGGACCTGTTCCGCGCTGGCTGCCCCTGCCCACGCGGCCCTGACCCTCGCCTGGGCCCCCCCTCGCACAGGTTGTTGTAAGGGGCTCCTCGCCGATCGCTGCTTTCACGGCCACCGTGTCCGGCATACGCATGGCGGGTGCGTGCGGGAGGCTGGGAGTGCTCCAGAGCAGATGTCGCAACGGCCCCCGGATGCCCGCTTTTAGAGCCGTCCGCCCTCGTAGGAGGGGCCGAGGACTGGAGTGGGGTTGCTGCCAGCAAGGGAGCGCTGCCAAGGCCTGCCTCGAAAGCCCCTGGCGTCATGAGCCTTGCCGCCGGCGGGGTGCGCCGGTGTGCCGCCTGGGCCGGCGAACTCGGCCGATGTTCCAGCGGGGCCACCCAGGGCACCCCAAACCCCGCCAAAACCCCGGCCCCGGCACCCGCGCATCAACGTTCCGCTCCCTCCGCGGCGGGCCCGCCAGGCGACCTGCGCATCACGCCGCGGCTGGACCAGCGGATTCTGCTGTGGGGCTTCAAGCGCGCGCCTTCCACCAACGTGAAGCTCGCGGTCAAAGGGCCCATCGGCGGCGCTGACCTGTCGCAGTTCCAGTTCATACAGGTGCGCGGCGCGCTGGCCGTATTGATGGACTCGCCGCACGGCGGCGTGCCGGCGCCCTGTGCTTTGGCAGCCGGTGGGTTCCCCCCCGGCCTCCACACTTCCTCCGTCACATAAACAAATGACGTGTGGTCTGGGGCCAAATGCGTGATGCTCGTCACTCCTCCACACGCTTCAAACCTCACACCATCCCCGACCTTGCGGCGCCGCGCCCGATTCTGGCCCCAGGGGATTGTGGCTCAGACTATAGAGGAGCTGCTAGTGGAGCCGCGGCGCGGGGCGCTGCCCCTGGACTATGACATGCGCGTGGAGGAGGTGACAGGGGGGGGAGGGGGTGATGATGTCACAGGGCGGGGAGGCAAGGGCCTGCGGGTTGAGGGGTGTCGAGGCGGT